GCTGTGAAGATTGTTAAAATGACAACAAAGGATTTAGAATATTATATAAACTCAGTTGATAAAGCAGCAGCAGGGTTTGAGAGTACTGATTCCAATTTTGAAGGAAGTTCTACTGTGGGTAAAACACTGTCAAACAGCATTGCATGCTACAGAGAAATCTTCATGAAAGGAAAAGTCCATCAAGGTGGCAAACTTCATTATTGTCTTATTTTAAGAAATTGCCACGGCCACCCCCGCTGTCTGCAACCATCACCCTGATCAGTCAGTAGCCATCAACATCAAAGCAAGGCCCCCCGCCAGCAAAAAGATTGTGAAGCCTTATCACTGAAGGCTCAGTGATGGTTAACGTTATTTTAGCAATAAAGAATTTTTAAATTAAGGTATGTAATTCTACTGCACACTTAATAGACTTCAATATAAACATAACTTTTATATGCACTTGGAAACTAAAAAATTCATGTAACTCACTTTTATTGCAATGTTTGCTTTCTTGTGGTGGTCTGGAACCAAACCCGCGATCTCCCGGAGGTACGCCTATATGATGTTCTGTGTCAGTATATTACCACTGAGTATGTGCTTGATACAGTCTCTCCCTTAATCGCTTATGTCATGGGTACTTCCCATTTTACAAATGTGGAGAGGGAGACTGAGTGAACTACCCAACACAAAATTCTTGGTAAGTAGCTGAGGCAGAATTCAACGGAGATTTCCTACCCCAACACCTGAATTCATGTATATTATATGTCTTTTCTTTCTTTATAGTTACCTTCGCTGTGTTCACCTTATTCTCAAGAGGATTTATGGTAGCTTACATAAATATAAATAACTATGATAGGATTTAAAAAAAAAAACTAAGAAAAAAATGACATGAGAGCAGGAACATAAAAAGTGTGTTCCTTTATCTGCCATTACATAATGTACATTGATTTTTAATCTGCACATTAACTTTTCTAGGCCTGGTTGCAGTATGCCTGAAATCTGGGATGTGGAAGATCCTGCTAATGCTGGGAAACCTCCCTTATGTACCCTCTTAGTAAAGGAGTCCAAGCCTCACTTCACCACTGTATTCCAGAATAGTGTTTACAAAGTCTTAGAAGTTATAGAGGAATGACCGCTGCCTACAGAGAAGTCCACCAGTAATGGTTTTCATGTTTTGCTAATAGCTCATGCCTTGTTTTTAATTCAAATCCCCAAAACTTTTATAACTGTTTTCAAATGAAAAACATCTTATTTGGTCAATTTGAATGTCATTCTGATTGTAAAAATACTTATACGTTTATCAGTTGGTTACTATTTCAATGCACCCCTTAAAATTTGCTATGCAAATGAGTATATGCTTGTACTTGACTTAAATATTTGTCCTAAAGTGAGCAAAGCTACCTGTATAAAAAATATGATGGGTCGTGACAAGGGTGATATGAAAATATAGTCACTTACGGACTGTTTAGGGGCTCATTTTACGGTTCGTGGACTATTGATGCCACTTGCTTTTTTCTCTGCGTTTTGCTGTTGTCTTTTGAACATTTCAGCGATTATTGTAAGTTCCTCAGTCAAGTCAGCCCCTGTCATCAACTTCAGTAAGAATAGATGGGGCAGACATGCGTATTTGCTATGTAGAACTCTGTTTGTTTCACTTCTTCACATTCTATTCTCTGTTGCTCTCGTTAATGAAGCATTTCCTGCCTCTTATTAATTCAAGCTCTTGGACCTAGTCCTTAAGACCAAATTCCTGTTAACTGCCAACCATGTGGCATTAGTGTGTGTACGTCTGTCTGTCTGTCTCTCTCTTTCTCAATATTCTTTGTCAAATAAGTGCTATTTACACATTTAGTTGCTTAGCAAGTACTTATTCTTGGTTTAAAAAATTTAATGACAATTGTGTATTTTTAGTATTCATTTTTAGTATTGTTCAAATGTTTATATTTTAATAACTTTAAACCACGTAAAATTTTTCATGTATAATTGTAGACTTAAGAAAACTATTTTGAACAACCAGAAATATAATGCATCTAGAAACTAATGTATATTTGAGTAGACATAATTTATAGTGGAACAGTAGACTGTAGTATGTGGTAATTTTTCTTTTACTATTAAGATACAATAAAATATGACTAATTTTTTTGTCAAATAAGTAAATGAATAATGATAAGTGAATGGAGTTTTTATATTTTACTTTTAAAATTGCCTGTCTTTAATAAGACGAAGCCTTAAACCTTATGTTATAATTTTGGTTCCAAAAAGCATCATTTCAGTATGAGGAATGAGTATATTCAGCCTTCCTCTTTGTTTTTTTTTCTTTCCTGTTTATTTTTATTTGGAAAATTTTCCAACCTGCTTTAAATTTCTAGTATGAATTTTTGTTTCTTAAAAGTTAATTTGTGTGAAATGAGATTCTTCAAAACAGTGAATCCTCATAGTTTTGAGAAATGGTTTTAAGATTTAACGTTCTAAGCAAACCATGACTCTGGTGGACTACACGTTTAATTACACAGTGTTCTCTTTATTAACCACAGGCAGATTAACCTCATTGTGGATTGTCCTTGAGACCTGAGTCCTCAGGGATGGTTTCCGGTGCCCACTCCGGGGAGCCAGTGAAGAGCTGTTCTCTTTCTGCCTTCTCACCAGAGCCCAAGGACAAGCCTGGTCTGGGGGAGGCACTAGCTTGCTTAGAGCAGACAGCTGCCGAGACAGCCTGGGCTGAGGACTGTGCAGCCCCCAGCCTTCCCCAGAGCCCGCCTCTCCCAGGGAGCCTCCTTCCAGCGGAGATTGCCAGTGTCTTCAGGTGCCTGCCCCCTCTTTCTCACTTACCGGGTGACTTATTTCTTGGTCTTTTGCCAGTCAGAAAACAAGGAAGCATCTGGGGAGTTGTGGATTAGGAGTAGAATTTGAGCAATGATGAAGCAATGCAGAAAAATGGCAAGTGGGCACTTGAGGTCGAGGAGGATGAGAGGCACCATGGGCAGGAAGAGCGGAAGTGTGTGCTCTGCTTTATTTGCCATTGTTTCTCTCGTAAATATGTTTTATACATCCAGCAGTTATAATTTTTTTAAAAAAATTTTACTTTTAAAGTTCTCTATTCTTCCCACCTTTCAGGAATTCCTTTCCCAGTAAGTTCACATGTAATTATTTGAAATTCTATATAGGAAAAACATTAAAATACTGTTATAACTCTTTCATATGCTGGGAAAAGATAAAAGTAATCAAATTAGTGGGTTTTTTTGTTTTTTTTTGCCAGAAGACTCCTTTTGTAACAGTATTTATTGATGTAACTCCACCAGCAAACTATGAGTATATTTTAGGCCAGTCAGTTTAGAACAGAGGCCTTGGGCTACACTGCACACTCAGCCTTGGTCACATCTGGTAGCAGCCGGTGCTGTAGATTATTAATATCTTTTATGGCAGCACAGAGTAGTGGTAGGTTTGATATACATGACAAAATAGTATTAAAGCTCAGTATTTTATGCATTTTTAGCATTTAAAAATATTTTGCTTTAGTGTGAGGAAGGTTAGGATGGGCAAGGAAGTGATAAAATAGCTATTGCTATGACATAAAAAAAAAACAAAGTTGGGGCATTATTTCTATAAAAAGATAAGCCTCTAAAAGTGCTTAGCAGAAACAGCGTAGTGTTAAAATAGAACGATGATATTAAGGAGAAAATGAAAGGATGTATCAGAAATAAAGTGATAATGCATAGGGGAATTGTATTTTTATGAATTTTATGCCAGTTTACATGTACTATATATGTTAAATAAAAAAGATCATGAAAAATATAGAAAGTGTTTTTTTGATTGTTATTTTCATTTCCTCCTTGGCTGTGGACATGTTCAGCCTCATTCTGTAGTCAGATAACCATGAACTGGTTTGTGACAGATTGCAGTCCTGAATAAATGGGAAGGGTTAAAGGTCCATGACACCACTTAGTCCTCTCCATCAGTGGTAGTATAGGTGTTGAGGTTCCCCATACTCTTCTTATGTTTATGGCATTTATACACTAACATTTCCTTTATCATTTCCATGAAGGGACACAATCATTCTTTAAAGCCATATTTTGAGGATAATTCCAGAATTGCTGAAATCTTTTTTTCATACATTAGTTCTAAACCACAGTTTGGTCTCATGGCATTTCCTAAATTATAGCTCCTTGTATTTGCTTGATATAAGCATAAACTTAGTTTTTGTTTGTTTTGTTTTTAATCTGCTTGGAGGACAGTTTAGCTTAATTCATGCCTGTATAATATTTTTACACAGTAACACCTTCATTCTCTGACATGTTTGAGGTCAGTTATTCTCAAATATAGTGTGCATCAGAATCACCTGGAGGGCTTGTTAAAACACAGATTGCTGCATCCCACCACAGAGGTTTCTGATTCAGTTGGCCTAAGGTGGTGCTATATGATCTGAATGATTGTGTCCCCAAAATTCATATGTTGAAATCCTAATCCCCAAGGAGATGATATTAGGAGGTGGGACACTTGGGGGTGATCAGGTCATGAGGATGGAGCTCTGATGAATAAGATTAGTGCCCTTATAAAAGAGGCCCAAGAAAACTCCCTTTCCTCCTCCACCATGTGAGATCACAGCTACAAGGTGTAATCTATAAGCTAGGAAGTGGGCTCCCACCAGATGCTGAATCAGCTGGCACCTTGATCTTAGACTTCCACCCTCCAGAACTGTAAGAAATAAATTTCTGTTCTTAATAAGGTACCCAGTTTGTGGTATTTTGTTATAGTAGCCCCAAAGTAGTAAGTCAGGTAGGGCCCCCGAATTTGCATTCTAACCAGTTCTCAGATAATGCTGATGATGTTCCTGCAGGGATTGTACTTGAGAAAAGTGGCTCTAATGGATGGGAAGAGACTATCTGGAATCCTGGCCTCTAGAGGGTGCTCCATTCCTGAGAGCACTTATCCCACCCGGACAGGCTAGAGGGTCCCTATATTGGGAACTGAATTTTACGGAGTCCTTTCTTTGTCTCTTAGGGAGCGTGCTTCAACGGAACTTGCAAGGAACAAAGAATAGATAAGGTGATTTTTAACCAAGAACAGATAAGGTAATTTTTAACCAGACACTAATACAGCTCACCTTCATTGTGTTTTCTGAATAGGTGGTATGGGTCATTTAAGTATTTTGAACTTGTACACTAGACTGGGCTTAGACCTGTTTCTTTTCAGTTCAGAGATGGAAAAAGAGTGAAATCATTTGAGATCAAATTTACTTTTGTAAAATTACTTTGCCTAAAAGAAAATAGATATATTCAGTGATGTGCGTGGATTTTAAAACTTCATTTTCCACTTTATTACTTTTGTTTGGCTCCAAAAATCCTTAGTCTTCTCCCTCTATTAGGGAGCAGTTAAGGATCAGCTCTGGTTCACAGATCACCTGTTTCTCTCTTCTGCCTTCCCTTTCTCCTTCCCCCAACTAGACCTTTCTAATTTAAATCAGTAAAATTGTTCCCTGTGCAGAAAAAGAGGAGGTGCTTTTGAACTTCATCACATTCTTTTTTTTTTCTTTTTTTTCCGGTACACGGGCCTCTCACTGTTGTGGCCTCTGCCGTTGCGGAGCACAGGCTTTGGACGCGCAGGCTCAGCGGCCATGGCTCACGGGCCCAGCCGCTCCGCGGCACGTGGGATCTTCCCGGACGGGGGCACGAACCCGTGTCCCCTGCATTGGCAGGCGGACTCTCAACCACTGCGCCACCAGGGAAGCCCTCATTACATTCTTGATTTTTATTTCACAGTACTGTATCAGTACAAATACATTTTTACATTCGAAGTTAAAAAGGACATTCAGATATAGAAAAGTCTTGAAAACTCTTTCCTCTTACCTTTCCTCCCATGAGAGAGATTTTAAAATTCTGAATGAATGTGAGAGTTGGAGACTTTTTCTCAAGATTTTGAGTCATTGTAGTGTAATTAAAAGGTAGATTTTTTTTTGCAAAGAAATTAAGATACTATTGATATTGGCTCTGCTTTCAGAGCAATGCTTTCTGTACTTTTAAATCTAACCCAAAATTCTAATTAAGTAATGAGTTGTCAAAATGACTTTCAAATAAATGGTAGCACTATCAAGTATTCTGTTTATGCAGCATGTGCATTTAAATTCAGCATAATATAATTTCATTGATTTTTTAAAAGTAGCTGGACTTTTTTTCCCCTGTATGCAGATTTAATACCTTGAAAGAAAGTTGAATGTAGCAGAATTATGCTCATTCAGTTGTTATGCTGATTGCTTTTAAAGCTTTAGTACTTACCCATTTCTAAAAAAATAGAACTGAAAATAAAAAATGACCATGTCTAAGAAGATTTGGCATCAGGCCATGAAAACTGATTTTTTTAAAATGGTGCCTGAAGGCCAGCTCTTCAGCTCAGCTTTATGGACACAGCTAACATCCCTGGTTCTGCCCCCCTTGGTGATGATGCCCCCTCTGGTCTTCACTCTTGGTATCTGCTTATTAACCAGAGTCCAGATTCAGAGGCCTCCCTCTTGCCCTAGAACATCCTCTTCCTAGGAGCTGCAATTCGGTTATTCACTCCAAATCTATGATGAATTTGGCTTTTTCTAACAAAGACTCTTTATGGCAGTCGTCCTCATACTTGTCTGTACATTGTAAATAATTTGCGAAGCTTTGAAAATACTGAAGCCTTTCCCTCACCTCCACAGATTGAGATTTAATCAGTCTGGGGTGTGTCCTAAGATTTGGAACTTCAAAAAAATGCCCAAGTGACGTTTTAGAACCAGGCCTCTCTGCCTTACATCTGTATGTCCACCCTTTGCATGTCTCTGCCCAATCGAATTAGAAACGGTAAGCAAGTTTCTCTCACACAGTCTCCTTTATTAATAATGATTGACTCTTTCTACTTTATGAATAATGAAATGTAGTGTTGAGTAGACTCTCTAAGGAAAGAATTCTGTGTTTGGTTAGAGATGAGTGCCATGGTGGCTGTGGGCAGCGGGAGAGTGGCAGCATAAGTGTGTATATGTGTGAACCCTGATTTGAGTGACAGTGAAAAATGGGGATATAGCAGCCAACAAACAAAAACCAAAAAGGAATAAAAAGAGACTAATTTAAAAATCACTTTGACAATTTAATATTAGTTGTGGAGAATCAGCTTTCTGTTCTTTGCTGATTTTTTTTTCTTTTTCGTGGAATATGCTTTCTTGATCAGTTTTAATTTCAAGATACAACTCAACTCAAATGTCACCTCCTCTGTGAAGCCTTCCCTGACTGCCTATCCTTTGGCTGAATGAACTGCCCCTACTGTCCACACTCTATAACCCCTAAATTCTGCACATTTAACATGACTTTTTCTACTGCATTGTGTCCTGTCAGACGGGACCTATGTCTTATTCCATTCCGAATCCACAGTGCCTCCTAGCACCGTACCTAGCAAGTGGTAACACTTAATGATTTTTTAAATAAACCATACTTTATTCAACAATGCAGTCAATTCCATTGTAGATGGCACTAAAATTTATTTTTTTAAACTAAAAGAAATGGAAGATTATGTATTCCAACTGTGGAGATGAAATAATAAGGAAACACAGTATCTCCAGATTAGATTAATATCATATATAGGAAAAAAATGTCCTTGATAAGCAGCTAAACAAAAATGAACCTCACAACATATCCTAGCTAGCTACCTTGATACATTCAGAAATGGCTGGTAACCAAATAACTGCTGGGAAGCAATATGGCAAAGATGGATATGTCTGTCTCCAAAGGAAGGATTCTCTTTGGCCTAGTTTGGGTTGTGTGGCCCAGGATACTATGATGGCCGGTCCTGGGCACATTCACTGCTGGTCAGGAAGCAGGGAACTCTGATTAGGAATTTAGTTCAAGTCTGGGAGGAGGGGATTCCCAAAGGATGGGGAGAGACTCACGTTATCAGTAGATGAGGATGTTAGACAAAACAGATGACAGCAGTCATACAATTAATATTACCATAATTGAGACAACTAAATTAGAATCCTGGATCCATTCTTTACAAACTTTTTAAGGTAAGACATGTTTATTTGAGACTCAGTCTTCTTTTAAAAAGGATATGCCTCCAAGGGTGGTTAAAAACGAGAAGTAGACAAATTCACAAACACAGCAGGAAATTTTAACATACCTGTCTTAGAAATTGATGTAATAAGCAGGCAAAAAGGTCAGTAAGGATATACATGATTTGAGTAATAAAATAATGTTGATGTAATGGTCATATATAGAACAACTACACTGAACAAATGAAAAATACACGTTCTATTCTAACGTGTGGGACGTTTTCAAGAACTGACAAAGCATGAACTCCAGGGAGGCATGAATTTTTTATCTATTTTTTTCACTGATGTAACCTAGAATAGTACCTGGCATATATGTGTGCTCAATATTTGTTGAATGAAAAAAATTGATCCAACGGGGGGCCAAATAATGATTCTTGAAAAAAAATTAATGATTAAAACCCCTTAATGTGAAAAATCAATACAAAATTTAAAAAAGTTTTAAATACTCCATGAATCAAAGAAGAATCTTATGATGAAAATTTGAGGAAAAAATAGAACAATGGTATACTACAAACTACTTGAGGGATATAATTAAAGCAAATCTAGAAATTTGCTTTTTTCCTATTTAGTCTAAAATGCACATATTAAACTAAAAATGAATTCAAATGTCAATGTCAGGAATATAGACAAAGAACAGCGGAATACTCCCTCCCCAAACTGAAGGAAATAAGGAGCAGAACTTGATGAAATAGAAAACAACGATATCAAAGCCAAAGTTGGTTATCTGAAATAATTCATAATTGTGAGAAAATAAGAAGGCATAAAAATTAGGAATGGCAAATTACAGAAGCTGCAGAGAGTAGGTGGAGGAGATGTTATGAAAAACTTTGTCAATAAATTTGAACACTTAGATAAATTGTTAAATTCCTAGAAAAATACAACTAGTCCAAAAAGAAATAGAAATTAGGAATAATCTTATCCCTAGCAAAGAAATTGAATTAATAATATTTTAAGATCTTCCCTCAAAGAAAACAACAAATCCAGAGAGTTTTGCAGACCTCTTCTACTAAACATTCAAGATACCGATTATATCAATTTTGTACAAACACCCAGAGAATAGGAGATAAGAGAACTCCAGTTTTTTGGCAACTGTAACATTAAGCAACAAGAGCAGAGTAGGATTAATGCAGTATAGGAAAATTACAGGTCTATTACATTCATGAACAAAGATGTAAACAAGAACCAAGAATGAATTGAACATAAGTTGTAAAAATACTAGTTTACCTCAAATTGACCTGTATTTTAATCAACATACCAATAGGCTTTTTATAGAGCTTGACAAGCTGAATGTAAAAATTTTATGGATGAATAATCAAGACAAATCTGAAGAGGGACACGAAAGGACATTTTTGCCTACCATCCAGAAAGGTTTATCACAACAGCAGTAAAAGTATCGGCACAGGGATATGGAAATTGACTAATAGAATAATCGATAGCTCAAAATAAACGTGCATATATTTAATAAATGAAGCTGACAATTGGTTATCTATATGGAAAACAATAAATTGTTTCCCTACCTCACATCATACATAAAAATAAAATTCCAGATAGATGAAGACCTAAGTATGAGAGATAATACTATAAAATCTAGAATACAATGTAGGATAATATCTTTATGTCCTCAAGGAGAATTTCCTCAAAGAAGGACTTCCTAAAATCCCGAAACAATAACTTCTTGTTTTTAGTTTTATTTATTTTTGGTTGCATTGGGTCTTCGTTGCTGTGTGCAGGCTTTCTCCAGTTGCGGCGAGCGGGTACTACTCTTGGTTGCGGTGCATAGTCTTCTCATTGCGGTGGCTTCTCTTGCTGCAGAGCATGGGCTCTAGGCGTGTGGGCTTCAGTAGTTGCAACGTGTGGGCTCTAGGGTGCGTGGGCTTCAGTATTTGTGGCACACGAGCTTAGTTGCTCCACGGCATGTGGGATCTTCCCGGACCAGGGCTTGAACCCATGTCCCCTGCATTGGCAGGCGGATTCTTAACCACTGCGCTAACAGGGAAGTCCAAAACA